CCCCCCCCCCTCCCCCCCCGAAAATAAACAAACAACAACCTCCTTGGATCTGGATAATTCATGTAAATGACATTTTAGTTTGAAAACAGCAAATTTTGCCAAAAAGCGACAAGCTTGCAGGTATGTTCCTGTTGAAGGGAGTTTTTCTTCCCACTGTCTCCTTTGTGCTCGCTCAGGATGGGAGACTGAGATGAAGTGAAGAGTCAACAAGTCTGCCGCTTCCTTAGAGCGATAACTTTACTATGGTAACTGGCTTTTCTACGTATGTGAATGTTTCTGTTCAGCGCCCTGAGACGACTTCTGTTGTGATGTGACTCTGTATAAATAAATTGAACTGAAGTGATTTCTGTGTTTACCAGGGTTGCTTAGCGGAGGTGTCCATCTCAAGTTTGTCTACCTTTTGCCTTTGGAGGTGGGTGATGATGAAAACTACTACTATGATACATCTTAACTTATTTTTGCTTGTAATTATGTTATCGTGCAATAAATTTAAATGAAATGTTGTAAAATGTGCCTTCACCTGGTGAGTCCTCCATCCTCCAAGTTCCTGAAGTCATGGCTGGTCCATGTAGAGAACTTCTCCAGGATGTAGGCAGCTAGACCCACAGGAGAGTCATTCAGCCCCCGACCTGACAAAATAAAATAAAACTTATGTGTATTCAAAAGGTAGGCACTAATGTAAATGACGAATAACTAGAACGCAAGTAGTTTTTACAAACCTGCGAGTCCATAAAATGCATTTTGTGAATTTTTAGCCAGATGAAAGCTTATAATCTAGATGAAATTAATCAGGACCGTCTCCTCCAGTTCTTACCCACAGTGTCCGGTTTGGTAGCCTGGATGTGCAAGTAGCCAGTCTCCTTGATGGATTCCACCACCAGTTTCTCCATGCACGGATAAATACGCCCAACATCCAGTTCAGTGAAGCCAAACAGCTTTGGGAAGTGATGGCCAAACATGATGGATAAAGCCATAGACAGCCCAGGTTTGGAGGGTGGGGCAAAGTTTACATGCAAGCCTTTAATGGTTCTGAGGTACGAAAAGACTGACGTTAAAGAGAAACGTAATGTGGACATAGGTTCTCATCTATTTCTGAAGATGCAATGAAACACAGTTGCCATGCACATGGTGTAACCTGTGGTTTCACTGCATTTATCATGTGCAGACAAACTTGGTGTGTGTCGTACTTGGGCTGCAGTTGAGCCATGTTGGTGGTAACCAGCCAGCCCCAGTCTCCTCCGTGAGCATAAAACTGGTGGAAGCCCAGCCGCTTCATCAACTTGTGGAAGATGTGTGCAGCACAAACCGAATCAAAACCTGTTCACATGTGCAAAGTGAGAAAGTGAAACAAAGATGTGCACATGTGCACGAAGCATAAAACAATCGGCAGCAGATGAGCAGCATCTCAAAGTTTTGAAATTAACTATCAGGGAAACAAACAAACGCTACAAAATTATTATTTTAATGCCAATAGGATGGTGTTTGTTCATTTTTAGAAGATGCAACAGAAGGAATGTATCTGTGACAACATGCAAACCTGAACCCCTCACTCTCTGCTCTTTGAATTGAGAAAGCTCCTCGGATGAGGAGAAACGTCTTCTGTTACAAATAAAGTCCAGCTGTTTTTGTATTGAACGCTTTTTGAATTCATCATGTCCTGGATGACTGAGAATCTTCACCAGCAACATGCAAACAAGACGTTCAAACTGTCATGAGAAGTTCACAAAGAAAGCTTTCAGGACATTTTTATGACCACAGTAACCAACAAGGTTTTAGCAATAAAAAACTGAATGAAGCAATTAAAACAGGCTGGAAGAAAATTTATTATAGGACTGTGTAAGACATAAAGTACATTCAAGATTAATGCATAGCTATTTGTTAAACAATTTGCCGTAGTGATGGTCTGTAGGTCACAAATCCCAACTCCACCCCCTCCCCCACCCCCACAACTTATTTGGTCCCCAGGCAGCTTGTTTGCCGACCATGCTGCTGCCCCAAACATTAGTTGCAGTTCATCTGTAATGGATTGTCAGACAAATATCATCTGATGACTGGGCCTCTGCAGCCAGTCACCCAGTGAGCTTTGAGGAACCTTTGGACCCGTGCACCATTGAACCTCCGGTACCATTCGCCAGCACAATATACCACAGCAGGTTTTTTTTCTCCTGAACCGTCGTTGTGTTGAGGAGAACATTGGGACAATTTGGTGCAAATTATTAGCAGTACCTGTAGAAAGATCTTCAGTCAGGACTGCAGAACATAAGTAAAAACAGCTCAACACGGTGGGAAAATTTTCTTTGTCTAATTGTAGGGATCACACGATATGTATACTTAGCTTGAAACATTGATGCTGAATTCTTTTAAATTCTACTTTATTTTGTACTTGTTGGGGACTGCCTAGTATAAGGCAACCACAGGCAGAATATCAAGCCAGGCAGAAGGAGAAATCCCACACAAGACAGGCTCTAGAGCAATGTGGATATCCTAACTGGGCCTTCCTGAAAGCAGAGAAGAAACCCAAACAGGACTCCAGTCAGCCATCAGGTGAAAAGGAGGAACCCAGACCCAGACCAGTGGTCATTCCGTATGTTGAGGGAGTTTCAGAGAAACTGAGACGTTTATTTTCTAAACATAACGTCCCAGTGGCTTTTAAACCCCAAAATACATTAAAGACTGGTTCATCCCAAAGATCCAGTCCCCCGGAACAAACAGAGTAATGTTGTGTATGCTGTTCAGTGTCAGGAGGGTGATCAGTCTTACATCGGGGAAACTAAACAGCCACTGGCCAAAAGGATGGACCAGCACAGAAGATCAACATCATCAGGCCAGGACTCTGCGGTCTACACTCATCTCCAGGCCAGCGGTCACTCTTTCAGGGATGAAGATGTTCACATCCTGGACAGAGAGGAACGATGGTTTGAGAGAGGAGTAAAGGAGGCCATCTTTGTGAAAAGAAACCATCCATCATTAAACAGGGGTGGAGCCTCCGGGTTCAACTGTCCCCCTCTTACAATGCTGTGATTGCTAGTATCACTCAGCCCTCTGTGAACAGTAAACAGCCATCAGGTGCTAATGATCCATTGTTAGACTGATGGTCCTTCTTGAGCATGTGATCAGCTGGTTTTGGTTGTCAGCAGCAAAACTGGTTGATCCACTCTGAGAAGGTGCTATTTAAGAGACTGAGCTGAATACAGCCCCTCAGACTGAGGAAGTCTTTCGGATGAGAGACGAAACGTTTCTATATTTTTTTTGCTTTGTTTTGTTTTTTTCAATGTCCAGAGGACCAGATTGAACTTTTTTGGCTTTTTCTACCTGGATTATTGAGCAGCATCAGGATATTGTTTACCAATGTTCCCTCTAAGGTACGCACCTGTGCAATCGCACACTGCTCGCACATTCTCTACGCACAAGAAGAGTGCAGGGGTCTCAGGCTCACAGGCAAACTTTCATTCCAACTAATCAGCATCTTCTGGAGTTTCGGTACTGACGTGCGAAGAAGCCAAGTAGCTTCAAACAACCTTGGTTTCTAGCTTTCAAAGATTTATACTGCATATTTCATCATATACCGAGGAATAATATTTGGCGTTATGGATTTATCACAGAAATTTATGGTCATATGACGTGAAACAAAAGCTGGCCTGGAGATGAGTGTAGACCGCAGAATCCTGGCCTGATGATGTTGATCTTCTGTGCTGGTCCATCCTTTTGGCCAGTGGCTGTTTTGTTTCCCTGATGTAAGACTGATCACCCTCCTGACACTGAACAGCATACACAACATTACTCTGTTTGTGCATAGGCCAGTGGTCACTCTTTCAAGGATGAAGATGTTCACATCCTGGACAGAGAGGAACGATGGTTTGAGAGAGGAGTAAAGGAGGCCATCTTTGTGAAAATAAACCGTCCATCATTAAACAGGGGTGGAGCCTCCAGGTTCAACTGTCCCCCTCTTACAATGCTGTGATTGCTAGTATCACTCAGCCCTCTGTGAACAGTAAACAGCCATCAGGTGCTAATGATCCATTGTTAGGCTGATGGTCCTTCTTGATCATGTGATCAGCTGGTTTTGGTTGTCAGCAGCAAAACTGGTTGATCCACTCTGAGAAGGTGCTATTTAAGAGACCGAGATGAATACAGCTCCTCAGACTGAGGAAGTCTTTCGGACAAAAGATGAAACGTTTCTACAATTTTTTTGTTTCATTTTTTTTGAATGTCCAGAGGACCAGATTTAACTTTTTCAGATTTTTCTACCTGGATTTTTGAGCATGCACCAGGACCTTATAATGTTTTCAACAGACAACATTCAAAAAATATATCATGAACAACTTTTAAGAAATTTTGTTGGTACATAATTAATTACAACAGCAAGAAAATGAGCTGATCAAACAGAAAACAGCGGAGCAAGCTAGAGATAGCTTTTCAGTATAGACAACTTCCACACAAAAACATGTCACATAAAAGAGGCATGAGTTTATTAAAGACTTTGTAGTTATGTACAGAATAAAAATTTTGTGATAAAAATACAACTACAACTTTAAGAGCCGCTTTGTTTAAGGGTGCATTCACATCAGCCCTGTTTAATCCGCTTTAATCGAACTCTAGCTCGTTTTCCTAGAAAGTCCGGTTCATTTAGGGAGGTGTGAACGCGTCATCCAACTCTGTCACGGAACAAAAAGGTGAACTCTGGCCCGGGCTAAAACCTAGGTCTCGGTCCGGTAGAAGTGAACTCCAGCGCGGTTCAAGTACAGTGTGAATGTAAACAGACCGAGCCCCGCTGCACAAGCAAGAAGTGGAGTACAGCGCAGGGCAAACAAACACACATTTCTCTGACCTCATATGGAGCCGTCAGCTGCCTTGTGTGAAGAACAATATTCTCCATGGTCTTCTGTCTCATCTTCTGCTCATGCTGAGTCGATTTTTGAAAAATGACAAAATATAACTCCTAAACTGCTAAAACCTGATGCCACTTCGTTTTTATTTTTATTTACAGAAGAAGAAGACGTGTCTTCAGAGGTTCTTGTGTAGTTTCTTTCAGTAGTTCTTGGTGCAGCGCCCCCACAGGCGAGTGGGGGAACAGGTTGGTTCAACAGGTTGGTTCAACAGGTTGGTTCAACAGGTTGGTTCAACAGGTTGGTTCAACAGGTTGGTTCAACAGGTTGACTCGACTGCACAGTGCAGTGTGAATGCAAACTCACCAGCTCACATGTAACAAAAGGTCATGAATATTGGTCCCCAACCGAATCGAGTCTACCGGACTATCAGGTGTGAAATCAACCTTAGTCCAGCTGAAAGCTGTTGAGAAAAAACTTGTGTTAAAAAAAAAAAAAAAAAGCATTTTAAATAAAACAATGCAGAATTCTCCTCATTATCATTCATATGTTTGATGAACCAAATATCTATCCATTCATCCATCCATCCATCCATTCATCCATCCATCCAACCACCCATTTGTTCCGAAGTCGGGTCGTGGGGCCAGCAGTTTGAGCTGAGAGGTCTAGACATCTCTCGCCACAACCACCTCTTCCAGCTCTTCTGGGGGGACACCAAGACATTCCCAGGCCAACCAAGAGACTTTGTTTCTCCACCGGGTTCTGGGTCTTCCCCGGGGTCTCCTCCCAGTTGGACATGCCTGAAGCACCTCCCTAGGGAGGTGCCCAGGGAGCATCCTTACCAGATGCCCCAACCACCTCAACTGGCTCCTCTCGATGTAGAGGAGCAGTGGTTCTACTCCAAGTCTCTCCCAGATAACTGAACTCCGCACCCCCTTTTTATGGGAGAGTCCAGCTACCCTGCGGAAGAAACTCATTTCAGCCATCTGTATCTGCAGTCTTGTTCTTTTGGTCACTACCTAAAGTTCGTGGCCATAGGTGAGAGTAGGAACCTAGACCAACCAGTAAACAGAGAGCTTCCCCTTACAGCTCAGCTCCCTCTTCACCACAACAGACTGGCACAGAATCTACAATATTCCAGATGCTGCATTAATCCATCTGTCAATCTCACACTATTCTTCTTTCACAAAACTCTGAGATACTTGAACTCCTCCACTTGAGGCAGAATTTCACCCTCAATGTGAAGAGAACAATCCACTCTTTTCCAACCGAGGACCATGGCCTCAGATTTGGAGATGCTGATTCTCATCCCAGCCGCTTCACACTCGGCTGCGAACCGCCCCAGTGAGAGGTGAAGATCATAGCATAATGAAGCCAACAGGACCATATCATCTGCAAAGAGCAGAGATGGAATCCTGAGGCCATCTAATCAGACTCCCTATGCATCCTGGCAGCACATAAAAATTATATCCGTAAAAGTTATGAACAGAATCGGTGACAATGGGCAGCTGTGGTGGACCCCAACTTTCACTCCTGAATGGTCCGACTTACTACCGGCAATGTAAATTAAACTCTTGCACCATATGTATAGGGACCGAACAGCTCATAGCAACGGGCCTCCAATGGACCAACGGTCAGACTTGTTTCTCCAGTACCCCTGAATAGACCTTACCAGGGAGGCTAAGGAGAGAGATGGCCCTATAATTGGAGCACACCCTCCAGTTCACCTTTTTGAAGAGGGGAACCACCACTCCAGTCTGCCAATCAAGTAGCACAGTGCCCATTGTTCATGCGATGTTGTAAAGGTATGTCAACCAAGACAGCTCCACAACATCAAGAGACTTAGGGAATTCAGGGTGGATCTCATCCACCCCCGGAGCCCTGCCGCCACATAGCTTTCTAACTATCTCTGTGACCTCAGCCACGGTTATGGATAGACCAACCCCAAAGTCCTAACTTGCTTCTGCTTTTTCCATGGAATACGTGCTGGTGGGACTGAGAAGGTCCGAGAAGTATTCCTTCCACCTCCTGACAACATCACTGGTTGAGGTCAACAGCACCCCACCACCTTCACTGAACTGAACACGGTGTTAGTAAAGCGCTGCTTTTCCCTCTTCAGCTACCTGATGGTTTGCCCGAATCTCCTTGGTGTAAGGATGACGCCATCTAGTGGGCCTTACTTGTCTGTTCTCCTAGTGTGTCTCCTCATTAATCCTGGTTGGGTTCTCCTTTGTCTGGTCCCATCTGTTTATAATTGTGTCTTGTCCTGTCTGTGTATATATGTCTGTCTGTGAGTCTTGTCCTTTGTCACGTCATTGTTGGGTATTGCCTTGTCCTTTCTGATCCTGCCTTGATCCCGTCCTGATTCTGTTTTGTGAGTTTGCTGCCACGTCAGTCTTTTGAGTTATTATTATTATTATTAAAGAGTATTTATTTTTGTAAATCCTGCAGTCCTGACTCTTGCCTGCAAAACTGGGTTCACTCCTGCCCTGCCCTGCCCTGCCAGAAACCCTGACACTTGGAGCCAATCGAGCGTCTCTATTCAAGGCCTCATCTAACTCAAAAGGCTGCATGCTCTTGCGGGGGCGTGCTTTTTCTCTTTCCCCCACTGATAAACTGGTCATATCAGTGCATGATCACCTGCGAGCCAGATTAAACAACAACAGATTTATTACTGGGGGAATATTGGAGGATGGACAGAAGCTTTGTAGTTAGTTTAAAAAATAGTTAAACAAATAGGATGGATTAAGCGAGTTAATTCGTTATAGCAAATGACACGAAGGAGACATATGACACGCACACACATCGCGATTGCTTTCAACCCAGCTGAGTTCTGCTCCGCCTCTTTTGGTTCTGCTCAAAGTTCACCCCTGAGTGGCATGTGGACATTTCGCCTGTGATTTATGATTTATGACTGTGATTTCATTTGAGGAAGAACTGGTCTGAGCAGCCATTTCATTGTAAATGAGAACTGGTTCTTAATGGGCCCACCTGGAACAGCAACATGTTCAGAGAACATCAGAAACGGTCCATGTTTTATTTTATTTTGAAAAGTGTGAAGATTTGGTAAGTCCCAGATGTCAGCATAATACTTGAGTTAAATAGGTGGCATAATGTGTCATTTTTCTTTTTAATATTGTTTCACATTAGAACATCTTTACTTTTATTGCAAATAAATAAATCTTAAAATGGAATTTATTTGAATTACACTTTTGGGTTCTGTTTATTGCATTTATGATTCAATGCAGCAGAATAAACAAATTTAAAAGGTAACAGATCATTGTAATACTTGTTTTATTTACATAATTACTAATTGCTGGATGTCTGGCTCCTGAGCTGTTGACTTTCAGCAACTGTGGCCCCCTGAGCAGTTTACAGCCCTGCCATAAACCCTAAAGTACAGCGATGATGGATCAGTGTTCAACATGAGGTTTTATTACATTCCAGACTCACCTTGCTTCTGTGGAGCTTCAGAGAAACCATAGCCTGGTATGGAGGGACACACCACCTCAAACACAAGGTTCTCTGGGTCTGATGGTTCAGTTAGAAGAGGAATCATCCCATAAAACTCATAGAAAGAGCCGGGCCAGCCATGAACCATTATCAAGGGAATAGCATTAGTCCCCTCAGGCAACTTCTTGGGCTTTACATGAACGTAATGGACATCAATGCCTGGACAGAAGTTAAAAAATAGGAACAACTCAGAAACAAACAAATCAGTATTTTATTTTATTTTTTCAAAAATGTGTCAGCTGTGCAGTTCTACCTTCAATTTTGGTTTTAAAGTGAGGGTACTGGTTGAGTTTGTCCACCTGTCTCCTCCAGTCAAAATCATTTCTCCAGTAAGAGACCACTTTCTGCAGGTAGTGGGAGTTGAAGCCATAATGAAACTGACTGGCCTCCAGTGAAGGAACAGGTCGAGTCTGGTCTATTCTCCAGTACAGGTCCTGGCACAGAAGATTGAGAACAGAAGAAACAAATATGGATAAGGGAGTAAGGAGAACATGCTGTGGTGTCTCAGTCCTGTGAGACAAACCAAGAGGAAACCTAACCTGCAGCTCTTCATTGCTGGTGGTAACTTTAAAAGGTCGGATGGTGACGTCATCCTGAACTTCAGAAGGGGATCCAGCCCCCCACCATCCTTCTCTTGCCTTTAGAACTTGGTTCCTGTTCTTCTGAACCAGGAAGATAATTAGTCCTCCAATCACCAGAGCAACCAACACCACAGTAAACATCATGTGTCTGTGCAGAGCTGATGAGGACAAAAAGGGGCATCAGTACATATGAAAACGGTCACTGCTACATAAGTACCATCATTTCTGGACCACTGAGCGCGCCTGAATATAAGCTGCACCCACTACATTAAAACATGTCGATAAATGGCTGCACTTGTCTACAAGCAGCCCATGTTGTAACACAAGACATTTACACAAAGATTTGTTACATTTTTTATTGCATACCAGTAACATACACAAATACGTACAGTAAATGTTTTTTTCCTGAACAGTGCCTGTAACACGTCTTGTTAAAAAACAGTAGGCTACCAGGAAGTCTGACAAAGTTGAGTCATGTCCTCTGGACAAATTCTTCTTGTTGAAACATTTTGTCTTTTATCCAAGACTTTGTCTGAGGAGCTGCAGTTAACCCCCTGCTCCCCAGTGGACCCTGGTCCACTGTGACCTGTTCGGTCATTTCCATCCATCATCTTTTACCCACTTCTTCCATTTTGGGTCACGGGGGTCGCCGGTGTCCATGTCCAGCAATCACTGTGCAAGGGGCGGGGTACACCCTGGACGGGTCTCCAGTCCATCACAGGGACACATAGAGACAAACGAGACAAACAACCATTCACTCTCTCGCTCATCTAGAGACAATTTAGAGTTACCAATCAGCCTAACATGCATGTTTTTGTTCTGTGGGAGGAAACTGGAGTACCCGGAGAAAACCCACACACGCACGGAGAGAACATGCAAACTCCACTCAGAAAGGCCCCTGGACCGGGGTTTGAACCGGGGACCTGCTCGCTGAGAGGCAGCAGCTCTACCAGTTGTGCCACCGTGCTGCGTTCGGTCATTTCATTGGTCAGATTTTTTTAACCTTTATTTATACAGTAGTCTCACTGACTCACGAGGATCCACCACCCTAGCAGAGATGTGTACTGAGCAGCTCTTCGAGTGCCCGGGTGTGACGAGGCTGAATGTTTTGGCAGCATGAAGCTCGTTAGCCCGTCAAAAGATGTATATTTTTTTCTCCTCTTTCGGCTGCTCCCTTCATCAGGGGTCACCACAGCGAACTGAGTCGCACAAAGACTTGGCAGGTATTTTTACACCGGATGTCCTTCATGACGCAACCACAGACACCGAGCTACCACAGCCTGTGTGGAGCAGAGAGCCGATATCTAGGACACCTGGGGGAGCAGATGGTGGGGGTTAAGGGCCTTGCTCAAGGGCCCAGAGTGGGGCAAATGAGGGTGGAGACAGGTGTGGGTGCTTCTCCTATCCCACCCACATTTTGATGTTGTCGGTACCGGGAGTTGAACCAGTGATCTGCCAATCACAGGCCCACCTCCTCTAACATCTGCACCACCACTCTCCTTAAAACAGACTCCCAGTCAAAAAATAAATAAATGAACTTCATAAATTAGGCACAGCATTGTGAAAAAAGGAACAGCTTATAGTCTGGAAATTATAGTAATCCATAATAATCCCTGTCTGCTCCACTGTGTTGCACTCACATCCATCACTAGTTGTTTGCATGAAGCCCTTTAATAGTATTATCAGCACAAACATCTCATAACCACTGTGAAGCATGGTGGTGGAGGGCTGATGGTTTGGGCTCCATGAAGTCACTGAATCGACCAGCAACTCCTCTGTAGACCGACGGGTCCTGGAGTCAAATGTGAGGCCGTGTGACAGCAAAAGCTTTAAGGCCTCAACAAGATTCAGGGTGCATTCACACCAGCCCTGTTTAGTTCGCTTTAATCGAACTCTAGCTCGTTTTCCTACAAAGTCCGGTTCGTTTAGGGAGGTGTGAACGCGCCATCGAACTCTGTCACGGAACAAAAAGGTGAACTCTCGCCCGGGCTAAAACCTCATATGGAGCCGTCAGCTGCCTTGTGTGAAAAACAATATTCTCCGTGGTCTTCTGTCTCATCTTCTGCTCATGCTGAGTCCATTTTTGAAAAATGATAAAATATAACTCCTAAAACTGCTAAAACTTGATGCCACTTCCTTTTTATTTTTATTTACAGAAGAAGACGTGTCTTCAGAGGTTTTTGTGTCGTTTCTTTCAGTAGTTCTTGGTGCAGCGCCCCCACAGGCGAGCGGGGGAACAGATTGGTTCAACAGGTTGGTTCAACAGGTTGGATCAACAGGTTGGTTCAACAGGTTGGTTCAACACGTTGGTTCAACAGGTTGGTTCAACAGGTTGGATCAACAGGTTGGTTCAACAGGTTGGTTCAACAGGTTGTCTCGACTGCACAGTGCAGTGTGAATGCAAACTCACCAGCTCAAATGTAACAAAAGGTCATGAATATTGGTCCCCAACCGAACCGAGTCTACCGGACTATCTGGTGTGAAAACAACCTTGAGGAACACTTGTCATTTTGTGTTTATTTTCTCACAGCCCCAGCCTGCTGATCCTGAGCAGACGCTGCCCTGAGATCAGCTGACTGCAGCCACATTACATAAGAAAACACCCCCCAGGAGGTTCTGACCAGTGCTCACTGTAGTGCTGTAAGAACCACTTGTGTCTGGAGGCACTGCACAAGACGGGATGTCAGTGGGTGGTAAAGACTATAAATCAGGCTTAAACCAATCTGGGTCATGATGCAACACAACAATGATCCCAAACATTGCAGCTAATCTACAACGGAACGGCTCAAAAGGCAATCAAGGTGCTGCAATGTTCCAAAGTCCAGAACCTCAGTTTGATTGGAATGTCATGGAGGAACCTGAAGAGGTGTTGACCTGAAGAGATGTTGACCTGAAGATATGTTGACCTGAAGAGATATTGACCTGAAGGGA